AGCCCTCTCCCGGCTGTACGTAATGCGCAATCACATTGCATTTCTAATCATATGCATATCTCCCCAATATGTACCGTTATGCCAAAATTCGTTACGATTCCGTAATTATTTCTTGGTGCACTAATTTTTTGTCCATGAGTGTACATAATAATTAAAATTAGATACCAATTTTTTATTACATAATTTTTTTTTAGTACTAGCAGTATTGAGCAATATTTTTGATAACATGTGATATGTATAAAAGTTTAACTTGTTGAGGGTTTTCTCCTGACGAATGAACGAAATAATAATACATTGCTGCACACAAATTATAAATGTTTTACATAATTTTTATATGTTACATTGTGACGGTTAGAGAGAGATTCAGTATTATAATAAAATTTTTCTCCAACTAAAAAAAATTTATAGGGTTTAACATAAAATTAAAAACACTTTAAAATAATTACATTTACCAGGCATATTTGTATGCTCCAGATATTTGCCTGAAATATTTTCAGGTGCTTATACAAATCAGCATTTGTTTCAGTATATTGATTTTATACGAGTTTCATTTAAATAATCATATTTTTGTATATACGTAACGTTATATACACACCTAACTATTTTCTTACGCCTTAAGCAACCATTCAAAAAAATAAAAATAATAAAATCGTGTAAAAAATACATGCGACTTATAGTAAATCGACATATAGTCTATATTAAATATAGTCCATATAGTATTAACTTTTATAACAAAAAAATTAAAGTCACTGTACATTAAAAATTCAGGCTATAAGTACACACAGCATAAGAAAATTCAAATGGAAATTAAGAATAAGACTACTCAATAAAACAATTACTCATTGGGTAACAAGAGCGCACGTTTATTACGAACTAGATTAAAAATGTAATTATCAATACATGTCTCAGATATGTCTAGGATATATGTTAACTTTAATTCAAATGAGGAATTTCTTTTATTAATATCGACCTTTTTTTAAAAAAAATATCATCAACGCAAATTATATTGCAAATTTCACCAACGAATAAAAAATAACTTTAGTTTCAAATGGAACATATAGAGTTTTATTGAAATTAAGAGTTTTATGGTGGGATTCACGTTAAAAAAATGTGTGAAAGACAGTGTAAGAAAAATAGTTGAGTGTGCATACGAGTATTTATCCACTTGCTAATAAGTAAGAATAACACTTAAATTTAAAATATTTCAAATAATTACAATTACAGGTATTCATTAGTACACTTTTCGTGTCAATGTAGATGTTCTAAGATACCTGCCTATAATGAACTAACTCTACTTCCAGTATTTCATATTTGAACATTAATTAGAATAAACTCTTGAATATTGTCCACTGTGATAATTTAAATGTTTTTTGGCAGATATTATATTATAAATCAAACTAAAAACCACTTTTTCAGTTGCGAAGTTCAGAAAGAGTGATCTTTATTTCTCAAATGTTTATAAATGCGAACCACTGCATTCTTCTTTTCTGTGACCTGCATTTTCCTACTTATATTTTAGATTAGCTGCGACTAGGTTCTCATAGTAAATGATACTACATTCAACTACGTTCCTTAAGAATTTTAGTAAAAATAAAAAATAAATTAATTAGATTCCAGTAATAAAAAGGGGGATATATTCAAAGTTATCAGAAAACTGTGTAAAATTAACATTGCTTCAAGGTCATTTTAAACCACGATTTTGAAAGAAAATCATCAACAATCTCTGTGGTAGATTATTTAAGTAACTATACAGGCTGTCCCCAAACGCCACGTACAAACTTGGAAGGGAAGTAGAGAACATTAGAAAAACCGTAATTATATAGGAAATCATGGGTGGAAAGTGATAGGTGGCGCTCTGCGTGAGCTCTCAAGGTCAATATATATGGTTTCCTCATTTGAGATATGGACAGCGTACGATGAACATGAATCGTTATACGAATGTCGAGTTGCCGGATATCCACTTCGTCTACTGCCAGCCAACGGAAAATGGACGTGTTGCTGTTCGATTGTAAGGGGAAAAATATCCAACTAGGTGGCAACCGAATCATCAAACGTTCGTACGGGGGCAGCAGAACGTGGCGGAACATGGATCTTTCAGAGTCATGATTTACGACACTCCCGTCCATTCGGAAATGGACCTTGTGGCACGAATATCCATCACTGCAGCAACGAACCGCCGTGTATTTTAGAACATGTCAGTCAATATACGTTGCGTCAGTGTAGTGCATGCATATGTAGCGGTATCGATATAAAAAAACCAGTACTTAGACATCACGCGAAGACGATCGTTTTGGCGTGATCGATAAAGTACTGGCGTTCGGAACGGAAGGTGCCCGGTTCGAATCTAACCTACATTGGTGACCCTGGACTGAAGTAAGAAAACGGAACTTTCTGAACTGTCGTGGCGCCATCTACCGCAAGAAAAATAAATAAATAAGAAGAGAGAGAGTAAAAGAATAATAAATAAAAGAAGAAAATTAATATAAATATAAAAAAAACATACTCTCTCCGCGCGAAACAAACGATAGATCACCTTTCACACATCTCAGCAAGAAAAATAAAAAATAAATAATAAGATGAATAAAAATAAACTGAATAAAAAATAATGAGAAAAAATAAAATAAAAATAAATAAACATGCTCTCTCCGTAACAAACAAACAAACGAAAGAAAAAAAAATCGTTCGCCTATCCATCTCACTGGTGGGAGAGTAGTGTAGTGGTATCGATATAAAAAAAGCCAGTACAGACATCACGCGAAGACGATTGTTTTGGCGTGATCGATAAAGTAATGGCGTTCGGAATGGAAGGTGACCGGTTCGAATCTATTCGCACACATGTATTCCAATGGGAGCAATTTCAAACACCTCTTGTGATGCTTTAAAGGCATTTTTTAAATTTATTATTGTTTTTTGGTTTTTTTAGTTTTTGTAACAATGCGTTTTACACTGCATCCTGTATTGTGGCATTCCTTTGTGTCTCCTTATTTCGTTAGGGAAACGTTTCCGCCCCTGCATTTATATGTAATTATGGCTCCTCCGGAGGTTTTCTACCTCCCCTACCTGTTTGTATGCGGCATTTGGGGACACCCTGAATAAGCATGGAGTATAAAATTAAGGTCATAAGTATATTTATCAAAAATATTAAGAAATGTTAAATAAAAAAAAAGAACAATATCCTTATTAATTCGTTTCTATCCTATTAACATTTTTTACTGTATCCACACAACTACTTTTTTAACTTTAATTCTACTTTTTAATATTTTGAAGTCATTTATTTAATTTAATTCAGAAATGCAAATTCACGCTTCCTGTTTTTTTCCCCATGAAAACCTTTTTTATACATCGTATCTGAAACATTCAGAAGTTTTCTTTAGAATCATTGTCTTCTCCTTTTTAAAATCATTCTTCGTTTTGCAAGAAAGTTACGAAGAAAAGAAGGATTGAGTGTTGAAGTAACAGCAACTTCAAATGGAGTTTTAAGGCCTTAAGGAGTTTTAAATATTCTTCTGTCATGTGTTTGTTTTGATATTTACTGCAGATGTTAAAATGATTTTACATTGTTTTGTGAGAACATTTGAGAAACAGTCTAAAGATTGAATCTCTATTCAAATGGGAATAGTTGCATTCACTTGTTCTTTCTCTTCCCATAGAATTTTTTGTGTGCATAAATGTTTATTTCTTTTGTTGTTAATTGCAAAATTGACATAAATATAATGGGTAACTTTTACTTGATTTTAGTTATGTTTTAGACCATTTGTACTGCAAAATGCTTACCTGATTTTCAAAAAACATCTGTTGTCTATTGAATTACACATACTGTGCTATTCCTTTTTCTCTATTGTGGCTGTATACTTTTATTATGACTACTTTTGTCGTGAGATTAATCATAGATTCGTTGTATCACAGATTTATAAATGTATATATATATATTAGAATATATTTCAAACATAATCTTCAATACTAAAGCAAGATAACCCTGCAGTCCATTATTTTATCGTTAAATAAACTTACGAACATTATTATCATACAGTCTCGTTGCATATTTAGTATGAAACTCTCAGAGATGAAACAGTTCGTTAAATAGAAATTCATCTAACACTGTGGTTGACGAAGACAAATTGCTTCGTTGCGTCTTTTGAAACAGTTGACAAAATTCAACCTCGTCCAGGTCAAGCATTCGTGTACATCTCGCAATGGTAGGGGTTAATGATGATGTAGAATACTTTCTATCTTTTGATGAGAGTTGAAGGATTTCGTGACTTTAATGAGAAGATTAGAGGAACTTTAATAAGAAGATATTTACGTAAAGAGACACGTCTCTAGTTTAATTATTATCAAAAGTTACATTTCTTAGCCGAAAATTGTTTTCTATAGTAAATTAGAAAAGCATTTATTTATATTAACACTATATGTTGTACAGTTAAATTCAAAATTTCAATAAGGTATAGATATGAATCTTTATTCCTTCATAAATTTTTTTGTGTTTGATTTAATGTCTGCTATTGATATTTAAGAAGTATTTACGATACATTTTGTCCTTAATATACCAGTACTAATAATTTGCATTAAATTTGCTAGAAGTAAATGCTATTTTATATGAAAAATGGGAAGAAAATATGCATTTTTAGTTTTTTTTAATTAAGGTAATTAAATCATTGCATCATCGGAAAAAACACAATTTATTTCCTTGCAAAAAAAAATAATAAAATAAAATAAATGAAAAAAAAAAGTTAAAGGCTATAACTTTTTTATCAAGAAAACAAGTAATATATATACAGAAAATAATGTCAATTCCTACTTAGGTCAACAAAGAAAATTTTTACTTTAGTTACTTTTTATTAAATAATTACAAATAACATAAATATGTATGTACATATTACAGAATCGCAATATTAAGTGACAAAAGAGAAAGCAATTTTCTTTCCTATATATCGTGCTGGACCATTACTTTTGTTTGTTACAATTTATTCAATCATAAATCACATTCTCGGAAATTAGGCCATCCCATACAGAATTCAAACCTACGACATTTGGATTAGAAGACCAACGCGCTATCCATTACGCTAAAGGGACACAACGACAGATTTTCCTTTTTATATTTGGTATTGGACTATTATCTTTCTTAAAGATTTATTTATTAATTAAATTAAATTTTAATAAGTTAATATTTGAAAAAAAATGTATTAGCATTAAGTGTCATTCACTACAAGTGTAAAAAAATGTATTTGAACACACAATTAGTTTTTCTATTATATATATATACATAAATATATATAGAGAGAGTGTGAGCTAATAGTAGAAATTGAATAACATTAAATGCACAGGGACTTTAAGTAAAACTTTCAATTGACTGCACATATAATTCAATATGCATCAAATACATTTCAATCGAGCATTATAATACTTAATGAATAAATTATACGATTAATTAAATTTAAATAAAACTAATAGTTATTCATAGTAAATACAGTGTAAATGATAACAAAATATTATGAATTATCTCAATCCAATAAATAATGCAAGTTAGTAATTATAATTAAGAACTATATTAAAGTAACTTTACAAAATAATTCAATTAATTCAAATTCAACCGTCAGAAACATTTTTTTTTTACTTTAATATGTAAGAAAATTATAAGTTTTATTCAACGTGTGTATAAAAATATGGGTTTAAAAGATTGTCATGGCAAAAAAAAAAAAAAAAAAAGAAAGAAAGAGAGAATTTTCCCCCTTTAAAGATTTTATTAAAATGTAAATATATAACGATTTTTTATCTAACAGATACTGAATTATGCTGACCTAAATACAAGGTACACACGGAACCTTAAAAGGAAATAAAATGATTTTACCTGTTTATGCATGCTCAGTACACTCCACAACTGAAGGGCTCTCCATATAATTGTATTATGGAAGTTATTACTAGTATGGATTAAGAAGACTCGGTATTCTTTGAGCAACTTTATTTATGTATTTAAAAATTATATTTTAGCATTTCATATAATGTTTCTATTAAAAAAAAATTTTACAAGTGGAAATTTTCGAATATTATTCACAAAATTTCAAAAATTTAAATTTTTTGGAGAAAATTTTGAAAATTTTAAAATTTTATTCGTTTTGAATTATTATTTTTTTGTATTCAAAACACAACTTTAGGGATTGATTTTACAATAACTTAATTAATTTTGGAGAAAAAAATAAAATGTTGATATGCATGCTAAAATTCAACAAAAAACTTTTATCTAAATTTTAATTTTTTTAAAAAAAAGTATTTAGTTTACACTAAATGGGTCCCTAATTTTGTTACGTGATTTATATATAACAAACAGGAAAGAAATGGAAGTGATAGGTAAATAATTGTGGAGGGAGTAGCATTTTGAATGCATTCATGTGTAGAAAAACACAAACTGAGAATAATCACTTAAAAAAAGATTTAAACACACTTAAAATTATTTTTGCATTATGAAAAAACAATTGTAATAAGCTTCAATAAACTTAAAATACCACTTTAAGACCTTAGTCAAATATTTTTCTTTAAAATAATTGCATTTTCGTATTTTTCAACATTTACATTTTCATAAATGATCAACTTTTAGATATTATTAATCCTTTCGCTGCGTAATGCTATGTGTTGTCCGCCTACGTTTGCCCGTGAAAATCACGGGATGCGTAGCGAAAGGGTTTGATTACGCAAGTTGAGTTGAGTTGAGTTTGGTGTTTTATATTGCGTAAGAGCCAGTTTTGGCTATACTGCGCCAAACAGTCATAGGTCTGTGGTCTGGACAGGAAAAGAAGAAAAGATCAAATTGGATGACAAGATGGAGGGTCGAAAATAGAGAAGGATCACTGGGGTACCCCGGGGTCGTGACACCCGTGTTTACCAAAGATAGTAAACCCCTTGGGAAAAGGAAAAGATCACTAGGGTACCTCGGGATTGTGACACCCGTACCCACCTAAGGAAGGTGAGCCCCCTGAGGAGAATTTAATTGCGCAAAAAAATTCAAAAAAGCCATTGTGTAGAAAAATAGTATGGCGTTAATATTCACTCACTCCCTTACAAGAAAATTCAAGAAAAATGTTAATTTTTTTTTTCAATCATGACAGAAATTTTATTTTTTTTTCTTCACATAATATTGAAGTATTATATTTGTATGGAAAACATATGATGAATAATAACTAAAATTGTGAAATTATTAATTTAAAATGACTGAAGTCAAAAACTTTACACATGCACAAATAAACACATTTAACCAAAAAGTAAAGCTACATTATTGTAATGCACCGGTAATAGCATACTTTACATAATACACTTTCTTTTTTTATTGTTATTATTTCACTTTTTAAAATAGATTTTTTTTTATCAAAACGAGACGATTTTTAGCTTTTTTTTCTAAAAAGGGGGTGTGGACGAATTGCCTAATTTGTTAATTTTATATTTTTGAAATGAAATTTTATCCAACTTCAAACTTTTCGACAAGCAAAAGTTATATATCAATCGAAAGATAATAATGCGAAGAATATGATTAAATAAAAATAAAAATAAAACAACGGTAGTTTGGTCATTTTTGGGGTACCGAGTCGTCTTAGATAAAAATTTAGTATAACTAATGTCCAATTACTGCTGAAGATCTTACAAGGGGAAGGCACGACAAAGGAAATTCATTTGAGGTTGAGAATTGATGTAATTGTAGTACTGCTTTAGGGTGTTCATCTCTCAATGTAATTCTGCCGAATGACCAGTCAATTCGGAGAAAATAGCCTTCGAAATTCAATTCATTATTAGCTTTTACATAATTAATTTTTATGTGTCTCAAGGGATTTAGTGACATAGTTGGCAGAACTAATGCTTTCTACACCGGTAGATAGGGTTCGAATCACGCAATCGTTTTTTTCTTTCAATTAATTGAATTTTTTTATAAAAAAAATAAACAAATCTATTTAAAAAGGACTTATTATAAATATTTTAATATAATTATAAAATAATTAAATTAATAATATATAATAAAGACATTTTATTATAATAATTATAAAATAATTAATTTTAAAAAAATAATAATATATTTTATAAATTATTTTATATTCCATATAATATTTTACTTATAGTATATTGTAATTCACATTATAAAACTATTTGTAACTAATTTTTATAGAAAGTATCATTTAATATGTATTATATATTTTATTATAAATTTTACTTATTAATATAAAAATATATTTAAAAAATATAATATAAATATTTATATGATTACAGTAATTTTTTTACTTTATAAAATACAAAATAGATACATAAAATATCATTAAATATTTAATAAACCATTAATAAAAAAATTTATTTAATTTTAAAAATAATTAAATGAATTTGAAAAAGTCAAATTTTTTCCCAATTCATTTAATTATATAATAAAAATAATAAAATAACATATGTTTTATGAATATAATAAAAATAACACGCGTCGTTTTATATGTTATTAATTTAATTATTTTATAATTATATAAAATATTTAATAATACCCTTTTTAAAAAAAATGAATTTCATTTAAAAAAAATTTAATGAATTGAAAAAAGAAGTTGATCGCGTGATTCGAACTCTAGCCACCGACGTATATAGCAGGTGTTCTACCAACGATACCACTGAGCCACTGGATGTAATTAAAACCTATTGTATAAAAGCTAAGCATGAATTTCGAAGTCTATTTCCTAACTGACTGGCCATTCGGTGGAATTACATTGAGGGTTGAACACCCTAAGGAAGTACTGCCATTGCACCGTCTCGAACTAAACTGAATTCCCTGCCCTTGTTAGAAGAAAAGTTCTTATTTTGGAAGTATTGATGGGACGGGATGTCGATATGGTAGGTTTTAAATAAATGTAAATTCTTGTATATCCAATTTTATTTGTTTCTTCCAGATTAATTTTGATAGTCCAAAGCTGTTTTTCCAGTAATATATATATTATATTTAAAACACTACCATTTATTTATCTCAAGAATGTCTCAAATCTATCATAACATTCCTTAAATTTTTAGTGATATGTAAATTAGGTTCTAAGCCAAATCTAATTTTTCTTTCAATTTTTTTTTCCTTTGAAAAATTATATATTATTATAGTTTTAGGTGGGATATAAGGAATGAAATTAATGAATTCAAATTTATATAGACAATTTGGTGCATTTTTATTTTATACGATTTTTTTTCAATTTATTTTAATGATAAATGCAATATTTCCATCCTTGTATTAAATGCACACTTCAAGCCAATTTTTAATATTATCTAATACGTTAAATTACGAAATGTATTAATTCTTACATTTATATATGACGCACAAAGTACTCCAGCCATTTGAAAACGTTTTTCAAATAAAGAATAAATCTCATGAATAATACCTATGCTTCAATCTAGTCTCAATTTAGAAAAAAAAAAAAAAAAAAAAATAAACCTCAACACATGCGATTTTGCTAAAAACAACGAACCCGTCTTAATTTCTATCTACTGCAAAAAGTTCAAACGTAAAAATTAAGTGAACCAAATTAATTGTTTACATTTGTTGAAAACAGAAAAATATGAAAATGATTCATTGCCCGGATAAATAATTCATATAATTAAAATCTGTCTTTTTATCAAATATTTATTTTACTTTCAGAAACTCCATTAATGTGCATAAAATGCGTTATTCACGTGCATATAATTTTGTAATAGGTTTTTATTTGATTGCTTGATGCACTGAGAATTGTATTTAAAAAAAGTATTTGTCGAAAAATAATAAAATATGACATTTCACCTCCACCATCTATGAAACCACATTACTTTTTTCCATCAAATGTGACAAAGATTAAATGTGTCTCTCTTTTGTGATTCCCACACAAATACATGCATAAAAAACAATAATACATAAAACTACTATTACACGCATTTCTTCCTTTATCGCGTATTTATTACAATAGCTTAAGACAAATTAATAAAGCTGGATTAAAGTGATTTATAAACCTTTATGGGGAAGACAAATTTCTATATCCTAAATTACATTAACATTCAGATATACAGTATGTAACTGTTTGAACTTTCTTTAAAAAGGATATAAC